TGGAKAACAAAAGAAATTTAGTTATTATACAATGAGTTCACTAATTATAGCGCATTCAAAATTACAAGTTAAAATCTAAAACGTAGTATAATTTAGTAGTAATTAAGTCTATGGTGTTATCACAATATTATATTTAAAAAAAAGTCTTTAATAAATTATTTATGAAGTTAAGCAAATAATGACTAATAATCGTATCTAATATTTTTTTAAAGAATATGTTGGTAGGATATTATTTTGATTTAATTTTCCTTCAATATTGCTTATAATATTACTTGTAAAACAATACTGTTAAATTCATGAAATTATTATTATTTTTTTTTTTAATAATTTAAATTATTATTATTTTAAGGATTACAAGCATTGGATGAAGAGTATCTCAAAGTTGATGCTCAATTTGGCGGAGTAGACCAGCGTAAGATATTTACATTGTCTGAAAAATATCTTCCTCAGTTGGGTTATGCAAAAAGAATACATTTAATGAATCCAATGGGTTAGTTTTGTTAATATTAAATTTGTACATTCATTAATCATAATTTTGGTGTCTAGGTATAACTTAATTGCTTTTATATTGTTATATGCTTAGTTCCTGGGTTAGCTGGAGGTAAAATGTCTTCTTCTGAAGTGGATAGTAAGATTGATTTATTAGATTCACCAGCTACTGTAAAGAAAAAATTGAAAAAAGCATTCTGTGAACCTGGGAATATTGCAGAAAATGGTCTACTTGCATTTGCTAAACATGTCATTTTTGGTTTATTTGAACCTAATGAAAGTATGAGTTTTATTGTATTTTTATTAGTAAAAATAGAGACAAAAATGTAATTACTTTTACTTCAAGAATTTAAGGTATCTAGAAATGAAGCGAATGGAGGAGATTTGAATTTTAGCACCTATGAAGATCTTGAAATTTGTTTTTCTGAACAAAAGCTGCATCCAGCTGATTTAAAAGCATCTATTGAATTTTACATAAATAGACTTTTAGATCCAATAAGACAAATATTCGATAAACCTGAATTACAGAAACTAGTGGCTAATGCATACCCAGCTCCAGTCAAACCAAAAAAAACTGGTATGTTTTWAAAAATRTAGTATCTAGTCTTAAATAATTTAAACCACATTTGTTGAGTATTCTATTTCACAAATCATTTTGAATACTTCAAATTACTTTAGTACAAATATTAATTTAATTAATTTAATTTACATGACATATTACTATATACATTTTTTGATATCGGATCTTACTATTAATTTTTTTTGTATTTAAATTAATAAAATATGTAATTTTGAGTTCTCAAGGTTTTTGGTTCTAAGTGGAGTGATTAATGTATTGGTAGGTTAGGTATTTACAATAATGTAAATTACCTACTTATTATAAAATATCCTTAAAAATATATAGATTGATATATACGAGGTGTGTTCAAAAAGTACCCGGAATTTTCGTTTTTCAAAAAAATATTTATTTATTCGTCTACATCAATGTGGTCCCCTTCAAAATAGTCCCCCCCCCCAGATATAATACACTTATGCCAGCGTTTTTTCCAATCTTCGAAGCACTCTTGATATTCACTTTTTGGCATGTCCTTGAGCACTCT